CTGTGTCGGGCGGTGAATAAGTGGTGGTTGGTCAGTGGATTTTGTCGTGGTGCTGGGCGTAAGAAAAGCTTTGGTGGACTGTTTGACACACGAGACTTCTTTATACGAGATCGCCAGCTTTTATGACAGATTATTAATATCAAACCACGACATGTTGTGTTGCTGCTATGCTGTTGATGATTTTGTCAATACTTTGTTTTCGACCCATTATTGCCTGCCGTGCTGTTGCCCTGACATTGATATGATACGATGTGATGCACGGTAGTTAATTCCTTTATTGTTTGTAACTGGAACTGCCGTGTCATGCGAAAATGAATAAATTTGTAACGCTGCTATGAATGGATTGCCGAGCCATTGCTATTGATATGGTAAGGATGGTGAGGGTGGGCTACCAAGAATGTTTTCTTTGCCTAGAATTATTTATGCAGTGACTAGTTAGCCCTGATATAACCACTGTGGTGCAATGCCATTCTTGCTGTTGATAGTTCTTTGACATTATGAAATCAGGTACACCAGGTTGTGCGGGTCTACAGGTACCTATATGGCCACTTTATTGAGGTGCGCGGCCGTTGGGGTCAACGAGAACGAAAGCCATGAGAAGCTCGTCACGTCTACCTCACAGCAGAAGCGTTTTTTGTACGCTGCTCGTGGAAACGGCGTATACGGTGGACACGGTGCCGCCTACAGCGCACGCGCTGCAAGCGGCGGCTTCGGCCACGGACACGGCGCGTCTCGCGGCCACGGCACCGGGCACCGCTACGGCCGCTCTCTCAGCTACGCTGGACACGGTAGCTACGGTTATGGCCGTGGCTCCGGCGCTCATGGATCGGCTGCTGCCGGCCACGCATACGGCAGCAGCGGCCGCCGCTACCGTCGGTCGGCCTACGGCAATTACGCACATGCCTACGGTGGCTACGGACACGCTGCCGGCTACGCTGCCTATTATCATTAATGGCTCGTGTCTATTCCGTCGTCTGTCACCTTTCCGCATCGTCCAGCAAACGAAATGCGGTGCTGGCCACCGACTCTGCGTCGCGCTATGATTGCGTCGAATATACGCTGCCCTCAACACACTACAGTCATTATGGCGACAACGGTTAGCAGGCACATCTGTCATATGCTGCACGTGGAAAGGCAAAGCAATCAGGTCACAGTATCAAGCGGTGCGGCGCCCGTTTGTCACCAGCGATTGCCATAGACGGCGTTGACGTGGACAGTTACCGGCACGATGTATTTCACCGCGGATGTTCAACGTTGCCGTACACCCACGATTCGGTAGCAGCTGAAGTTCTTGTGTGGTGCTGCTGGTGCACATGAAAGAGGCCGTTGTCATCGCTATGTTTACAGCCTTGACTGTTTTGCGTCTTTTTCACCAGATAGGAACGCAGTGTTAGACACCGATGGATGATGCTGTCTCGTCTACGTGTACTAAAACACCTCAAATGAGTTTCTGTGTGAAGATACAATTGATAACGTAGGCTAGCAACGCTCTGAGCGCTATATTTCGAGTATCTGTGGTCATTCTTGGTCGAGTCTTTTACCATTGACGAGCCTGTGATGGTGAAACGTTATGGTGTTTGATGCCAAGTTGGACAAGTCAAATGCAAATCCATAAGTTCTTCGCGTTTTACCTGTTTGCGCCGGACATTATGAGTTCAAAGCACTGGTATTTGTAAATAATTGTGAAGGGAGAGAGGGGTGAGGGATAGAGAGAGTGGGAAAAGGAGAGATTGGGAGGTAGAGAGGGAGAGGCAGATAGAGAGGGAGACAGGCAGACAGACAGACAGACAGACAGACAGACAGACAGACAGACAGACAGACAGACAGACAGACAGACAGACAGACAGACAGACAAACAGACAGACAGACAGACAGACAGACAGACAGACAGACAGACAGACGGACGGACGGACGGACGGACGGACGGACGGACGGACGGACGGACGGACGGACACAGACAGAGAGATACCCCCAAATTGCGATATTGGTTTTGAATGATGCCACGAAAAAAGCCGGAGAGATAAATATAAAAGGCCTAAGGTCCTGTGCAGCCAAATTTATAATGTGGTTGTAGGAAAAGTCCTGTTTGCGGTCCGCCATGGTTGCGTCTCAGGCGATCAGATTTGGAACGCAAAATCACCACTAGGTACATGATGGCAACGCAGGAACAAATATGAAACAGTGTTGGACGGTTCGGTTGATAAACCAGACGGCACTACGGATTCGCTTCTCATGGTCAAAGTTGGGGTGCACCTAAAATTCGGTGCTAACTGAAGTTCTCCTCAAAGAGTCCTTGGGCTGATGGGGCTCATTTTTTCCGAGGTTGGACTCTGGTCAAAAGACCACTGTAAGAACTCTCATAACTTGTTTTGACGGGGAGAGCATGGCTAATATTGCAGAACCGACCCGATGTTTGCAGACGGTTGCAGCGATTGACTTCGCTTTAACTTCAAACACTATATTGACTTGCAGCATGTAGCGTTATGGCTTTTGGCGAATGTTCCGGCAGTGGTTGACCGGTTTCGCAGGAATGCACTTAGCGTTACTGCGCAGGAGTGAGGAAGTCCCATATTTTCTGCATCATTGCCGATCAGATACAGTTATAATATGCCTTATATATTTCAATTCCCGAATCTTTCCTTCATAGTCGAAAGGGATAACCCATATGATGTGGTGTAATGATGTAATTGTAAGAAAAAATGCATGCTTTTGGTATAATAATCAAAAGGTATATGCAGTTTTTCTGAAGCTGTTTGACCTCTGTTGGCCATTGTCAATGTCTTGACGCAATGAAGTTTAAAATTGTGGACAATATGCAAAAAGATATTCAAGGAAAGCTTGAGGCTTAGCCAAGGAAGGGGTCTAAGCAGAACATAGGCCCTTGAGTCAGGAGGTTTGCAGTCGGTGCTGGGTGATTTCACAGGAATAAGGTTTATGTTCGCAGAATTTTGGATTAGAAGGGATTGAAAAGTTGACATTTGGGCCCGCTAGAACAATTTCGGCTTGTGCCTGATGGCTGGATGCTGAAAACTTTTGCTTACTAGCGAGGTCCAGGAGCAGCGCTTTTGGAAGTGCTGTTATTTTCCAAGGTGGCAAATTTATCCTCAGTCCAATATTCGCACTGTGAGGCATAACGCGCGGAAAGCTATCTAAAGCGGCTGGATGCAGTTTCAGCGCGCGACAGGGGCTGAAAACTTACTTCGCTTAAGGCTGACAGGAAGGACGGTCAACGCAGCAACAATGTCACATGCATCCACCTCGCCCAGATCTAGTAGATACATCTCATGCCGCAGTCGTTTATGCAAGCCTAACCGCATCACGTCAGAGAACGTTTGGCTGCGCTTAGGGCCCTACCGCAAACGGCGCTGGTGCAGTTCCCCTTGTTCCCCTTGTTGATACAGAACACCCCGTTTGGCACCGGGCTCCTGACCGATGCAGGAGCTCTGCATTGTTGCAGGGGTCTCGACCGATGCAAATCGCGGGCCCCGCCTCGTCCCTGCTTGGGAAATGAACCCAGCTCATATAATTACGGAGCCGACTGTTCGTTGTCGGTGATACCTGGCCGACATAGAGGAACGCTCTGTCTCAAGGGTCGCTATCAGCGCCAGAGGTCCTCCTGCTGACGCTATCGGCGCCAGAGGTCCTCCTGCTGACGTTATCGGCGCCAGAGGTCCTCCTGCTGACGTTATCGGCGCCAGAGGTCCTTCTGCTGAAACTTGAGAATACAGTTTTTTGGGTGAAGGCCACTAATGGGACCTACAGCCAGCCCTTCGGACCTTCCAGCCTTCCAATCGGACTCTTGATCTTTCGTCTCGAGGGATCCTTTGGCCTCTTTTCGGGCCCCCTTCAAATACCGCCTCGACTCGGGGCCACTTGCCTGCCACAGGACTCTGTTAGGCACTGTGGCCTCTGATCGACGCCGGTGCCCCTTATGGTGTCAGGGACCCCAAACATTGCAAATCTCGGGCCCCAGCCTAGTTCCCGCTTGGGAAATTGGTCTCAAGAGCTCAGACAGGCTTGGAGCGGACTGTTCAGTGTTCATGGTCTCTGGCTCACCTGGGCACCTGCACTGTCTTAGGGGCTCCTCAAACGGTGCATGAGGACCACCGCTGATATTTTAGGTCACGACCCTACGGATTGCGACTGTTTATGTGACCTACAGTCAGTCCTTCGAGTCCTTATGCCCTCCAATCGGGCCCTTGATCATCGGACCCGGTGGACCCTCTAGGCTCTTCGGGCTTCTTTGAACACTACCTCCGGCTGACTTGGAGCCCCTTACCAACACAGGGCCTCCTTTAATGGCTGTGGGGCCCTGGCAGATGCTGGGGCACCGACCGATGTAAATAAGTGGCTTCGGGTTTGTTTTTGGCTGGGAAATGAACCCTGATGCTTATGTCGCCACGGAGGCGACTTCGCGTTACTGGTGGTGTCTGACCGACATATAGGCTCTTATTGATTCAAGGAACCCCTAATCAGCGCACAGGGCCCTTTGGCTGGCATTGGGCCTGACCCTGCTCGTCAGGGTCCCTGAATGCGATCTCCGGTCGGCCTTTCGGGCCCTCAGTCGTGGGTTCTAAGGGGTCCGAAAAGCCCCTCGGAACCTAAGGGGCTGGGTGGCACGTGACCCCTGTGCCCCCTGCCTGCGCTACTGTTCGAGTCACGCGCAAGGCCTGCGAGAGCCGGCCGCCTGTCTCCGTCCCCAGGTTCTCCGTCCGGGGCCGAGCACAGAACGATACGGTTGTGTTCGCTGCGTCGATTTGCTAAACACCCAGGCCAACGACATCAGGAATCTTTGAACAGCGCCTCTGCAAGTGCATCTCTCCTCCGAGCACTCGGGACTACACCTTTGGAAAACTCTTGGTGCATACCTTAGCGCGATCGAAACACGATGCGGGATCGTGACAGCATCGAGCCATGAATATCGTAGCCTCCTACGTTGGCCGCCGGCTTATTTTGTCACTTACCATTCATATTTGTGTACGCCAGTGCTACGATTAGCACGTAGCTGTTTCTTTCCCAGTTTCCCAACTTCTCGATTCGGTAGTTTGAGTCTGCAGTGCGTATGTGGATGGAGGATGTCACTTGCAGAGTGCAGACGATACACACATACCAAAAGTACAGGACGGTATCAAGGCCATTTCTTTTGCATTGCCTGTAAGGCATCGCACAGGAGTTGTCCGGCGACGTGACACGCGAAGTGCGCGTGGGGAGTTACTTTTATGAGAAGGGATTTGTGATATAGGTGAGTGCACTTAGCAGTCGAGTGCAAACAATACCTGATCTGACTTTTTAGTACAGTGGATGTACGGATGCCTCAATTGCTGCGATGAGAATTATGCTGATCAAGGATATCTGCTTAATGATGGCAAAACTGTGCATTGTTCATGGACAAGTTTGCATGCTGTGTAGCTGCTTGACTGCACAAAAATGTTGTTCTGAATATGTGCAGCATATTGGCAACATACTGTCAATGATTTCAGCACAGGCACACCAGAAATCCAAGAGCCCCAAGTTTGTTATATGGCCTGCTACAAATTTCAGTGTTTAGATAGCCATTGTGTCAAGGATTTTGATTTTTCTTGAGGTAATGCTATTCAAAAATATTTACAAGACATTTTTAAGACAAAAATTTTTTGAAAATTCAGCTTGATTTGACTTAGATTGGGTTTGGTACACACATCCTGAAGGGACATTCACTGATGTCAAATAGGTCCAATGCAACATGATGTTTTTTGTAGACATAGGGTGGTCATATCTAGTTTTATATTTGTGACTATGATTCAGAATTTAAGATACAGTAATAAACCTTGCCACAGCTGTGCTACTTTTTGTTGCCATGATTTTGATTGACTATCAAAAGCAAATTATTTATCCTACCAGACCTCTCTTGCTTGCTCATATTGCCACCATGCTTTGTGCCAGTAGCCATAATTTGCTACATCTTCAGGCTTCAGTGCAGGTCACACCTATATGATCATTTATGGGTCATCTATATAACTATAACTATAACATCTATAACTAGGTCATCTATACAACTTGAAGACCAAGCTGCAAAGAATTCATGTTGTGCAGAACATGTTGGGCATAGAAGCAGCTTGGCTGAAAAACTATGTGCATATACCCCATAAATGCATATGATCAGGATTTTGCACATAGTCACCACCAAGTCCAATGCATTGAGAGGCAGTTTTTCAGGGAATGATGATATTGTAAAGCTCTAGAACATTTGTGATGAATTATTTCAAAATTAATTGCAATTTGATATGTCCTGAGTTTGATCTTGTGAGCAAGATGTTCAGCACACTGATGCCACAGAGGCATCTTGAATGGATTTGTGAATGTTGAATTTATTTGTTGCAAACTGATCTGGAGGGTGGAATGCAACCAAAACGTTTGTGATCTGAGCCAAGGTAAGCTAATATAGCCTAATGCATCATATAGCCTGTTCATAGTCTTACTAAACCTCAGTTCAACCCTATATAGTATGACCCAATCTAACTTTGTCCAAGGTATACTAAGCCTTTCATCTTCAGTATGAATAGCTGGAGGCCTAATTATAAGAATGTCCCTGCAGGGGTTACAAACTCATGCAAGGCAATGCCCTTTTGTGAGTGTGTGATGATCATAATGGGTAACTCTTAACATTCCTTGTCCTAAAAAATGCATGACATCTATTTGCTAAGTCAGCATTGCAGCAGAACCCACCAAATTACATGTTTGTCTTCTGAACACCATTTCCAGCTAAGCAGCAAGCATGCCCACATCATGTCTCATATATTAATGGTTGTGGTGTGATAAACCTCACATGAGCACTCCGTGGTAACGTGTTCATGGTGTTCTGCAACCAATGTGCTGACAAGATTATGTGATGTGCCACTCAACAACTAAGATGCTGTTCTTTCATCATATGTCACTGTCATAAAGACAGCTTTCTTGTGAGGTTGGACATCATTTGAATCCTTGTTGAAGCTTGGGAGTCTGTTGCAGTGAAGTGACTAGTTTTGATGCCTATGCAGCCATTTCATGCCTTGCCCAACAATAAATAATTCACAATGGTTATGTTGAGGCCACCTTTGGGTAGGTTTTGGTAGGTGTGTAGAAGGGTCCCAGCAAGATGCCCAACATGACTCATCATTTTCCCATTCCTGTGCTGGAAGTACTATTGAGCATTTTTTGGCAGCCTTTGAAAGCATGATTTTCCAGCTGCTTGGTGAGAAGCTGTTTGGTGTAACCCTTTAAACTGTGGGAGAGTAATAAAGGCTCATTTCACTTTGGGCCCATCTCTCACATTCTTTTCACCTTGCAAGGTTGTGGAAAGGGTTGTCATTAATTGTCTGTCATGGCTTCTGACAGAGTCTCATTGTGGTTTACACAAAAAAATGTTATATTGACAGTTGATAAATTATATGTTGATGGTTTGGAGATTATTAGATGTTATGAGAAGCACAGTTTACAGGGCCTCATAGGCTGTCTTTGCAGAAGTTTTAGCCAAGCTTTTTTCCACATGTGACCTGGACACCAATTTCTGGTTGTGTTTTGTTAAAGTGGAGCAACATGCCCCAGGGCTGCGTTTTAAGTGTCGCTTATGACCAGTGATGATGGGGTTGCAATTCCTCCGCCCTTTGGTCACTCCCCGCTCTCGTCGACCATTTTGCGATCTGGTGCAGCTGTTCTTCGACCCAAACGATGAAGCGTCAGTTCCAGCTGGTGCCACGCCTGGAAAGGGGTGCCACCCTCAGTGATTGCTGCTCCATCAAGTCAAAGTCAGCATGGAAACATTCTTGTCGCTTTCGGGACACTGCCCTGACGCGACGGTTCGACTGCATGATGAGGGGTTCCGTCGGAGCCCGTTGTTCGTGTCCGGGGTGTGCACTTAAATCGCCGGCTGATGTACAAACAGCTTGTAAGACGTAACGAGTACACTGTTTAAAGCTGAATGCTCTGAAGTGCATCGCGCGCGCATCATGGGGCGCGAACAGACGGACAGTTGACCTTTTCTACCTCTGATCAGATCAGTTCCAAGCTCGTTTACAACCTGATTTGTTTATGACGGTGCTCACTGGTCAGTGAAGTGCTCATTTACCTAGATGCACCATGCAGCACGTGCATTCTGGGTCCCTCTCACAGGGAACCTCCTTGGTAAGGCCCAGCGAGTCCCATTCGCCGCAGCGCCGGTCTGATGGCGCCATTGATGCCGCGTTTCTGCCGCAGTGGGCCGCCGCTGCCGACACCATGCCGGGACTGAAGGCGCTCGGCCGACTGTGGAGCGTCGCCTCGGATGATTTTGTATTTCCGGCTGCCCTCGAACTCATCATCAACTGCTCATGGTGTGTGTGCGTGCGCGCGCGCGCGTTCGTGCGTGCGTGTGTACGTGCGTACGTGCATGCGTTTGGATTGTTCTGGGTGGGTCTGTGATGGTTGTCATTGCTGAACTGCGTGCGGGCACCGACCATTTTTTTTCGTGGACGCCAATGGCTTCCATAAATCACATCCAGCTACTCATGCATTCCCAAGGCTGCTCCCCAAAAATCAGTGACCGTGACTCAACTGCAATCATTTTCGTGCACACTTGTTGACTAGGCTCGTACAGAATTACAAGTGAACCATTTAACAGATAATAAAGCCCTTCAATTGAAATGTGTTGTGACCTTCATTGCGTGTTACTCTGAACGCGGTTCCAGAGCCCTGATCGGCGCCCATATCTGACAAACAATGAAACCAGCTGCGGGAGGCGAGCCATTGGGTTTGCCACAAAGCTGCCGCTGTAACACTGTAGCGTTTGCCTCTTAGCACGACGGGGGGGGGGGGGTACCTTCATAGCTACGCCTGTTAGCGCGACCGCACAGCACGACCAGCGCTGACCCCGTCGCCCCCCCCCCCCCCCCCCCCTCCTCCAGGCTGGTGGCCGTGGCCGTCATCTACATAACGCACGACATAGCGGGCACGTGTCAGCGGGACCGCACGCTCGAGACGTACGTGCTGGGCTGCGGCGTGCAGCTGATGGTGTCGCTGCCGCTGCTGGCGCTGCTGGCCATCTGCAGCGGCCGCGGCGCCATCATGGACCTGCGCCGGCGCCGGCCCGTGGTGCCGCTGCTCTACTGCCGGTGAGCGTCGAGTGGCGCTGGCTGGACGCAACGCTGTGCTGGATGGACGCATCGCTGTGCTGGCTGGACGCACCGCTGTGCTGGTGGGAGCTGTGGGGTGTGGGTGCCGAATGTCAGGGCGTCCACCGCCGGTCAGCTCGGGCCTATGGGGTGCAGCTGTAGGGTGTGGGTGCCTAAGGTCAGGGTGTCCACCACCGATCGGCGCGGGCTTGTGGGGTGCAGCTGTAGGGTGTGGGTGCCTAAGGTCAGGGTGACCACTGTCGGTCAGCTCGACGCGTGGGAAACTGCTTGGAAAAGTATTCACTACTAGCGTGTCGGATTGGGCGAGCATTTCCCCTTGGCTGGCTTCAGGTGTGGGATTTGCAGCTGCTGACTCACTTCACTGTAGACTGGGGGCTTGCAAACTGGACAGCATTGTTCAGTAGTAAGCCCTCCGCCGTCACCAGATGTCACACCCGCAGTTGTGCGGACCAGTTCTCTTATCTAGTGGAAGCCAGCACTGAGTCGTCGTGTCACTCGTCTCCTATGTGACCTGTGTCGTGACGCCCCGCTCGAGCCCGGCCTGAGCACCGTCGGCCCGTCGCCGCGTCTGTCGGCAGGCTCGTACTGTTCCTCTTCTCCACCGGCTGGGACGTGGCCGGCTCCGTCTGGCTCTCGCAGGACATCAGCCGGTGTGACGTGACGGCGCCCACCGTTCAGGTTATCATAGGTCAGTGTATTCGTCGGCAGGAGCCGAGTCACGGTCAGCCGGCATGCCCGGCGGGCCGGCGGGGTCGGCGGGCGGGCTCTGCCTAGCACTGGTGGGGTACGATTTGTGGGCGCCGGTCGGGTTAGAAATATTGCATTAGATTGGTGCGGCTCAGAGAGTGTAATGACCCGCGTCTTGGGATAAAACAAATGATCAAGTAACAATACATTTGTAAACAAACACTTAATGTCGTCACCATCTTCACATAGTTTAGAAACTACGTGTCGGAGAGGTGTGACACGCGTGCTAATGTCGTCACCATCTTCAGACCAGAGACTGCGTGTCAGAAATGTGAAGAACCGCCGATGTCACGCCGCCATTCCCGGACTCGCCCGTTCTGTCGAAGCTGGCGCGTGATGCGTGCGCGTCGTGCCGGGGGCGCTGCCCTGACGCCGACCACCCCGCCGGCAGCGCTCGTGGTGTGCAACTGGCTGCGCTGTCTGGCCATCCTGGTGGGAGTTGCAGTGGTGTTCGACCCGCTGGGCTCCGTCAGCCTGCACGGCGGCGGCTACAGCAGCGCCCGGCGCAGGAAGAGGTTCGCCACCCCTGCCCCACCCCAACCCACCCCGACCTCCGGAGCAGCCCGGGAGTGTTTCGGCTTTGGGTGAAGTTTGATGCGGGTCCGAGTGTGCTAGGGCGCTCAGATAACTTAGAGAAATAGACCCAATATGTCGCGCGGTCGTGCTGGTTTTGCGTCAGGCTCTTTTTCAGCTCATACGCTCCCGGCTATTCAGTGTTGTGTCGGGGTACGCCGGCTGCAGTGGGCTAATGTTGCCGTCAGTGCGACAGGGTATTTACAGCCAATGCGTACACGCGCATACGAGGCTATCGGATTGCTACCGAAGGAGGGTCCCAAGTGATTCGGTGATCGGATTGCTACCGAAGGAGGGTCCCAAGTGATTCCGTGAGCGTCCGTGTGGAGAACTGAGGCCGTTTTATGACCGTTGGGTCGGCAGTATCATGAGGAGGAGCCTCTGGCACGCCCGGTGCCGCCTCCTCTGCTGCTGTATGCACACCGATGACACCGCCGAGGCGCTGCAGGACGTGGCTGGTAAGTGGCGCCCCCCCCCCCACCCCACTCCCCCCCTCCCCTGGGGAGCTGCGGCGGCTGGCCGCGCCTCAGGCTTGCACTGCTCTGTTGGGAAGAGGTGTCAGCTCTGTGAGGTTTGGTCAGTCAGGTGGCACCTCAGTGGCGGCGGCCGATTTCGTGCAGCTTTAATTCTCTTTAACTAATGTATTAACCTCCACACTTAAATCGGTTTAATGATTTGCTGTAATGCCCGGTTTGCATCATCATTGGTATCGTTTTACTGTTATGTTTGCATTTTGCTGTCTATATGCAAGGTCATTTGCACTGATGCATAATTATGCTGTTCGCTGTACCGAGTGAAAAAATGGTGCCCATTCTGTGCATTCTGGAATAGTGACATGATTTCACGTTGCCCCGACCAAATGCAGGGTACCTCGGTGGATATGACCCAATGTACTTGCTTGACGTCATCTCCCGACCCTACCAGGCATGGTTCAACCTGACCTGATGCATTTGATATTGCCTGATCTGACGTTGTGTAACCTCACCTGCTCCTCGTAGCCTGATGTCTTCTGTCCTGGACTGACCTGACGTCTCCCGACCCTCCCTGACCTGCCGCCTCTCGCCTGATTTGTGCTGTCTCGGTCTGACCTGACGTCTCCCGAACCTCGCCGACTTGCCATCTCTGGCCTGATCTGTGCTGTCTCGGTCTGACCTGACGTCTCCCGACCCTCTCTGACCTGCTGTCACCGACCTGACCCCTTCTCAGCCAACCCAACTTGACGTTCCCCGGCCCCACCGGACCTCGCTTTGCTGACCTGGCGCTCCCTTTGGCCGCGGGTCATCAGGCCACATCGCCACGGTGCTGGGCGAGCTGGACCTGGTGGCGTCGGACGTGGTGGCCGGCCTGATCCTGCTGCGGCAGCGGCACGCCGCCCACCCGGACCCGCCGCCGACGCCTCAGCATCACGCCTGGGCCACAGTGCACGGTACGACACGGGTTGGGGTGACAGTGCACGGTATGACACGGGGTAGGGTACCAGTGCACGACGCGGCACGGGACATTCGACTCATGCTTCCCATCAGGGGCCGTCATCATCGCGCGTCACAGTGTTTCTGTATTAACATTACGCTTTTTGCGTGGCAGTAGATGGTTTCCCGTGAATGAACCCGCTCGACTGCACATGGGTGGAATGTTATCATTGGCGTGATGGTCTATGGTTTCCCAATGCCATCGAAATTTGACATGCGATCTGCGATCTATCTGGGCGTTGCGCAGATACAATTGACCATGCACCTCAGGGAGATCCCCAGCGATTTTGATCAAGCGCCATCTGCGCCAAGGTGTCTGTCTCGCTGTACCCGTCGCTGCGTAGCACGCTATTTTATGTGCAGCTGTACGCTTCGCACCGCACGCTCCTGCGATCTGCGTTCCCGCGGCGCGTGCTGCGTGCGGTCCCACGCCGCGACACCGGCCCCCTGACCTCCGGCGGCGACCGCGGCAGCGCGGCCCGACTGGATGACGCCGCAGAAGGCGGCCCGCTACATGCAGTTCGCGCTCGGCGTGTACGGCTGGCCCTGGTTTGTGCACGGCCGGATGTCGTCAGCGCTGGCCGCACTCTGGCGCCGCGTCACCTGCTGCGCCCACTACAGGTCAGCACGGGTCACAGAGGGCGGCAGGCCAGGTCAGGTGGTCCCAGGACGGGCCAGGCTCTCCCAGGACAGGTCAGGCGGTCCCAGAATAGGGCATGCGGTCCCAGGATAGGTCAGGGGGTTTCAGGACATGCCACAGAATCCCAGGATAGGTCAAGTGGTCCCAGGATAGGTCGGGCGTTCCCAGCATAGGTCACACAGTCCCAGGACAGACCAGGCGGTCCCAGGACAGGTCAGGTAGTCCCAGCGCAGGTCAGATGTTCCCAGGAGGGCTTGGACGTTCCTGGCACGGAGAATGCAGAGACGGGACTTTCTTGTTGCTGTGTGTCTCGTCTCATCTACAAGTAGTCTCGTTCGAAGAGGCAACGACAACGTAGTAGAGTTGTCTCTATGTCTACGTTTTTTCGTCTGTACTAACAGGTTACATAATCAATAGAGAGATCAGACGGGTCTAGAAAGGAGCGGACTGTCCTGAAGAAGCGTAAATGCCCCAAGAGAAGTCAGGCGGCTCTGGGAGTGGTCCGGCATCCATAATTTCATAGTCAAGTGTCGCACGATTGGTGAAAGAACATATGTCTCTCTGTAAATAGGTAGGAGACGCGATAACATTTTCGATTTCGTTTTTGCTTCCTCGAATGCAGGTTTGTATCCTCTTTTTTGCCTCAGCCCATCAGCATTGCCACAGCTTATACTAGTGCAGGGATTGACCACGTTAGCATTGGGCGACTTGGCCTGGCCCGTACAGAATGTCATGTGATGCGAATAACTAACGACTGTCGCCGGCGGCCGTGGCAGGGGCAAGTCAGTGCTGGCCGTGGGAGACAACTGCTGTCTGTGTAACACGGCCGCACTGCGCGAGTGCACTGACCTGGACGAGGGCGACTTCATGTACGTCTCCTTCATCAACAAACTCTACCAGGTGCGTGTGGACGTGGAGAGACCCGGTCAAGCCGTGTCCAGACGATGCCCCAGGCGGCTATCGGTGAGACACGGCGTGACACTGCGTGTGTCAGCCGCACGCCGCTGGCGGGAGCCGTCGGCAGACCGTCGGCGGGCTTGACAGAAAAGGGCCAATGTCACTGTGCGGCGGTGGAGATCTTGCGCTTTGTTCCAGACACGAGGTGTTGGGGAATGTCCTGTCAGCTGTTGAAATCATGCTTCAGGATCTGATTCTCCGCATTTTACTCGGAATGTTTTGTGCACAGAAACGATAGCACGTGTTTCCTGTCAAATCACCATCATGTGTGGCACGGTGCTAGAATCCAAACATGTCTTGTATAATCATCTAGCGACTGGCGTACTTTTGACTGACATGCGATATTCCCGGGCATTATTGACCAGTGCCATGACTGTCAGCCACTGTACACTGTACTGATACCCCGGTGTGCCGCGTCGCCGGACAACCTTCGCCGCATGGGCACAGTACGCTCTCTGACATCTGCAGGTGGCGTTCTTGGTGGCCGTGGACCACGCCGAGCAGAGTATCGTGATCGCCATCCGCGGTACACTCTCTGTCACGGACGCGCTCACCGACCTGTGCCTGGACTCGGCCCTCATCGACGGGCCGGACAAGCCCGATGACAGGGTGAGAGGCTACCGCTGGCCCACTTCGTCTCCCTGGCCGCAGGGCGAGAGCGGGAGGGGGGGGGGGGGGGGGCGCTGTCGAAATGCTCCGTTGAGATCGTGCTTGATTTTAGCTGAGCGGTCCTTTCCCGTTTTCTGTGGCTCTCCGTTTTGTGAGATCATCTTAACACTTTCTGTAGCTGTCGTTTTGTACTGTTTTTTTGCTCGCGCCCGGCGCGCCTGATCTTGGCATCTGCGTCTGTCGCCTGGCTCAGGGACACGTGCGCCTGTTCCGGCAGCGTACCCCGCGGCCGGCGGCCGGTGACCGGGCGCGAGGTGAACTCATGGTGAAGAGGCATGCTGGCGCCACTGGGACTCGCCAGAGCTTGTGGGGGGGATGTGCTGGGATAGCTGGCAGGATGCGTACAGTGCTGAGCCAGTTTGGGTCGGTACTGGACTACTCTGCGATGGGCTGGCGTCATTTGTTCCTACGTTATACGTAGGGAGCTCGGGGAAAGTGTTCAAGGCGGAGCTGCATGGGTTCATAGTCGTGCATTGGTGTGGGGCGTGGTGGGACTTGGCACGGTTACTGACTGGCACACGCAGGCTTGTGTTATTAGGCGGCGTGGCGCGAAGGCTGTTCTGCATCGAATGCATGAGGCTGCTGTAGTTACCTTGTTGCTTTATTTCCTGTGCTTAGACCAGGGCAGCAGTGGCAGCTCGCGGCCCCGATACTGTACCAATCTAAGCCACGTCCGATTGGCTGAATATCGCCTCGATGGCAGGCACGCCGTTCTTGTGTGCAGAGCGATCACCAAATGGCCAACGGTCGCTGGACCGATCACACCCCTGGCTTACGGCCCGTCGGCGCTTCATTCGCATCCCACGCCACACGCGCTGCCTCCCTTTGTGCCGATTGTTAGGAGGCGGACTCGTTCTCTTCCAGATCTCTGCAATGCCGGGCAGAACGAGCGTGGAAACCCTCGTCCCTGTCTTTGTCCCTGTCCTTGTAGGAGGTCTAACAACCAACGAACTCGTCTGCAGGCGCACAAGGGCATGCTGCAGGCGGCGCGCTACGTCCTGAACAAGCTGAAGGAGACGGAGGCACTGGACCGGGCCACCACCCTCTACCCCGAGTATAACGTCGTCGTCACCGGTACGTGTCGGGGTACCGCTCCGCAGTTGGCGCGCTGCGCCGCAACCACACTGCGGCGGCCGCTGCTGCTGTGGCTCACATTCGCGTGCGCCGGCAGGGACGTCTGTACCGCTGACTTGCTTCCCCTTGCCCGATGTCATATCGTTGCCAGCAGCGGACGCTGCTGAATCTCGGGCCTCTGTGAAAACTCCTGTGAAGACTGTGGTGACGGCGGCGCGTCAGAGGCACATTCCTTCGGGATCACTGCGAACAGTGGACTCGATTGTGTGATGTCTGATCAGTCCTGCGTCTGGGGCCAAGCAGTCCACAACTCGTTGATGGTGTATATTTTGGTAGGCTGCAGCCCAAGTTGCACCATGGTGATGGGAGGCCCTGCGCTTGAGCGTACTGCTATGTTTGTTTGAGCTTCCCCTGCCACTTTATTTTTTTCTTGTTTGTTTTTTTCCGTCCGTCGATGTGCCCCAGCATACGTAGCTGATTTCATAATGAAGTGGCGGGCAGTTGACCGAAGGGACACAAGAAGCAACATATCCATCTTAAAACGTTTCACTGCCACCCGATTCCAGCTTCACAGAGTTGCAATGCACTCTGAGTTTATTATGGCTGTTGCTTTTGCGCCTATGTGCGTTTTTATTTAGGTGCTAATTATCGCTACTTCTGAGTTCGTTGCAGCTTTTGCCATTTGTTGTCATTTGTGTCGGTTATAGTCGATGGTTACAGCTGCGCCTGCCAGCGGTATCTTTCAGCGCCAGCTCTGCTGACGTCACCGTATGACGTCACTAACGCTGCTATGTGTGGTCGCGGCAGGTCACAGCCTGGGGGCGGGTGCGGCAGCTCTGCTGGCTCGCCTTCTGCGTCCGGTCTACCCCCGCATCATGTGTTTCGCCTTGTCGCCGCCAGGTGAGCTTCTGGCGCCACCGGCGGGCTGACGTCAGCGGGGCTCGATGGCCACGATTGGCTATTCTGAAACGTGGTTTTGATTGGCTCGTACGCGCGGCCATTCTGTTTTGGTTATACGCAGTCAGTTGTGCCTCGGGCGTATGAGTCGCTCCCGCCGTGTCAGTGATGTAGGAATGAATATCATAGCTCAGGTGGAGAGCGGCTGGTGCGTAGTGGAAGGGTCCAAAGCCGCCCGCTCATGGTGGCCATGACCTCTGACGCCGCTGCCCGGCGGACAGGTGGCCTGGTCAGCCGACAGGTCAGCGAGGAGATGCAGGCATACGTCATGTCGGTGGTGTGCGGGGACGACCTGGTGCCCCGGCTCTCCGTGGCTACTATGGAGAAGCTGAAGAAGGAGCTGGAGGAGGTTCTCAACGAATGTCCGCTCAGCAAGGTAAACGGCGGCTTCATGACTGACTCGTGGACAGTGTTGTTTAAAGTCTTGTTGATGCTGTCATGCTGTCACGTTTGCATTGAGGTATAGGACGACAATGTATTATACATTTATAAAATTCGTTTAGCTGTATGGACCACAAATATTATGATATGCTTAGCTCAAATGCTGATTGTTTTTTGCACAGAGCGTCCTGTTATCCATGTTTTGGTGCCGAGTGGTCTCTTTATTTCCGCTCCATCACGCTGTGGTGCCACCACCGCCCGCGGCTGTACGCTCTCTGACATCACCGCCCGCGGCCGTACGCCCTCTGACATCGTTTCAGCACACTATACTGTACAAGGCGTGCTGCAACTGCGCGTGCGGGACGGCGCACAACCTGGTCAGCCCAGAGGACGGCGAGGGCGAGGAGTACGAGTCTGACCACCAGAGGCCGCTCGTCTACTCGGTAGAGCGCAGCAACTACGTGAGTGCAGCCACAGGAGGTGGTAGAAGCGGCCAGGGCGCGGGGCGGTATGTGTGGTTCCTGTAGTGGTGCTCCGTTGGTGTGGCGTCTTGCGGCACGTTCGCCGGTATCTGATGTTCTGACCTCCGTGTTTGCGTTACTAGGCACGTGGATGAACCGATGCTAGATGGCCAATCCAGGTGGCGCTGGATGACCAACTAATGACCGACCAACCGACCCCAATTAGATCCCAAAAAATCGTTATTTTTAACGGGACGCCATCCTCGTCATCACACACGCTTAGTAGAGCTCTAGCGACTGCATTGGCCATACTGCAGTGCAGGGCTCAGGGGTCATGGTGCAACCAGGTTTCAAACCCGAGCCCCCATGTGAGTGTCGCCGTCGCTGACCTTTTGATCTGTACGCCTCAGAAAGTTCTGAGTTCATCTATGTCCGTATAAAGGTCTGTTTCAGTTCGCTCGACATTGCAGTGGCCGATCGCGCTGTAAGTCCGATGCTGGGGACGTGCTGCTTGACTGCGGGTATTCGTTGGGGTAAATCAGGCGCGCGAGCCTCACTCCCCATGACGTCATCGTTTTCCCGTGAGCAGCGACGTGGCTGCTGTTGGACCTCGCTGTCGCTGCTGTGGCGGCAGTCGCAGCGCCCCCGAATCGGAATGGTCAATCGGTGCCGAGTGGCTGTTGCTGCCATCTTTTGTTGACAATGCAACTATCAACGATATTTTTAACCGACAGGAGTCGCTGGCGGAGGTGGCGGAGCGGGCCATGCTGGCGGATGCCCGTGCTGAGCACGTGCCACTGTTCCTGCCTGGCCACGTGCTCCACGTGGACGCCGTGGACAGTGTTAGGTAGGTCAAGCACTTAAGCACAAGGCCCTCATATGAGTGAGTAAAGAATTTGAGTTGTCCTTTTGCCGTTTGATGCGATGTGGGTGAGATATTGAACTGACCTACAGTGAAACTTGGTCATCCTGGCTATGAATGACGTCGTCATCTGGCTACCCTGTGTCCACGCTTGCGCAAGTAATTCATTGCTGATAATTATTGGCCGATTTATCCATCCTTGGGGACCATCAAATAATTCGTTATGATAACGCGAAACAAGATTGGTGAAAGAAATAGGTGTAGGTAAATCATAATATAAAATAATAAAATGTTCCCTTAGGCTTTTTCGAGCGATGTGTGGTCTGGATAGATACGAGCGGTGCAAAAGTAGACATGTCATTGTCGACCACGTGCCATTATTTATCCACGGGCTGACTAACTGTAGGTTTCGTACGTCTCCAGGGATGGCAGCACGGGCGCGCGGACGCGCTGGCGCAGCCCCAGCCACTTCGATACGATCCTCGTGACAGGCACCATGTTCACGGACCACCTGCCGGACCTGGTACACAACACGCTCAAGAGGCTGGCGTCGGTGAGAGAGGAGGCCTAGTGCTGACATTTGTCGTCGACCGAAAAGATGTGCAGTGCTGACATCTACCGCAGTGCAGACTTACACTGTCCGGCGCCAAGTACTGAGTGGGTGCAGTGCGGACTTTTAGCTTCGTGCTGAGGAAGAGGCGCAGTGCTGATATTTATCGTTTGCCGGATGTAATGCGCAGTGCCGATATTTATCGTTTGCCGGATATTAGGCGCAGTGTGGACGCCGGCCGTCGGCCGGGAAAAAGGTTCAGTGCCGACATCTAACGGCGGCTTGGAGCGCAGCCCGCCGGTCTGCGCGCTGAACGCGGCTGGAATATGCTGGACAATGAATGAATATGCCGCATGTTGGGTAAATATCAGCGCTGCGCTGATTTTGTGGCCAGTCAGCGAGGCACATTCCTGGCATTCACTATGGGTCGGACAAGGAAAGCATTGCGGGCATGAACGGAACGGTCGACGGGGGAAGGGCAGTGCTGGCATCTATCGTCGGCGTGGCGCGGCGTACGACTGCCATTTAGCGGTTGTCTTGGGAGACGCTGATGCTTATAGCGCATCACAAAGAAAGCGATGTTTGGATGCGGCGGCTGTGTAGGAAGCTTTACCAGCCTATTTATGTTAACTCAGACCAAGGGCTTGTAAGGGGTGTGATCTGTGCATATGGAGATGATAACTATATCCGACAATGTATGTTTAACTGAACGCGCTGGTGGTTCGCGTTACTTAAGAAGCGTACCGTGGTCCGTCCAGCACTGCCTGCTCGCGTGGATGCGGTATTCGCCAAGAAGTGCCATAGGCTTGTGTGTCAGTGTTTGCCATCGCATCCCAACCGCTGCTGTCTAGGTGGTTATGCATGTTTGAGTCAACTTTTTTCGAGGACGGGCATTGCGAGAGCATCCTGACCGGCGCCAGTGGAGGCCACGGCCTCGCTCGGCGAGCGGCGGCGAGTGTGATGCCAGTGATACCAAAGTACGGCGCAGTTTGTCACAGGGTAACCTGTGTTGAGGTGTGACGACGGCATAACTTTATCACAAGTTATCTCGCATGAGGAAGTCATGTAACGCGTGCTGTGCCTGTGTGTACAAACGGAGCGCTGTGGATTGCCCCGCTTGTGGGCGGGGAGGCTGTCCAAACTGTCATTGCCACATTAGCAATGGTGCTAGGTTAACGTACCGGGCTGCGTCCCTCCCTGACAGCCTGCGTCTGCATTCGGCTAAACCTCGGCGTCACAATATCTTGCGCGCACTAGCCGATCTAGCGAGGCGGCTGGTGACCCCCGCATCGCTGCGTGCGGCGGCCGTGTCGTCCGGGCGTCCGAGCCGTCTACGCCCGTCGCCCGGCCGCCGACCCTGGCCCTTCGGAGTGGCACCAGCGCACGTCGCCGGTGTTGCCTATCCTTGCTACGCGTGGCCTCTCTGCCTGCTGTACCAGTTGCGTTTCAATGCAAGACGTGTTAGCCCGCGGCTCATGGCACGGGCGTGTTCCTTCGGCACCAAAGACGGAAATCAGGGGCCGGCCCACAGTGATCCGGGGTGCCGACCGGTATGCCAAAGCCGAGCGCTCCCCCGTCGCTGCCGGCACGTGACGGACGCCCCCCGCACAGCTGTGGCGTCGCCGGATGAGCGGCGGTAATGGACGTCACCTGCTCGCGACGCCGGCGCCCGGTGCGGACAAGTGGCCAGCTAATCGTGTGCTCGTGTAGTGGAGAGGCACTGAAAGGCATCCGGTAAATTGTTGATTCGTGAACCCACGATAGCGGCCAGCGTTGCACTGAGACTCGCTGGCGTTTCTTTCGCGTGCTCTTGTTTTGACCCATCTGATGGTACTTTGCACGTGCTGTGCTTTGCGATATGTTCAGCCAGCAGTGCCTATGTTAAGGCTGTGCTTGCGCTAGCTTTTTACCACCCTGCGCTCTTCGACCATGGCATCAACTACGGTGGCTTGGATGCGCGTGCCTATACTACCCCCATCGCTTTCTGACTCACAATGTAAGCATGTCTGGGCTCAACGGAACTGTACCGACCAGCACGATCCGTTTTAGAATATATTGGACACATCTTCCAAGCGTTTAAAAGCATATCGAAAGTAAGTTCGGCTCCACAGTTACTCAATCTAGGTAAGGCAGGTTCTTTGAAGCTGGAAGCCAGTCACGCAATCGCGGAGAACTGAATTTGTTATTGATTTGTGGTTCAGCGACTTGATCACTGTGCTTTTACAACTTGCTCTCAGTAATGAAGCCCCTGCCCCCTGCAAAAACAAAAACAAAATGTAATGAGGACCAATGATATGTGGTGATAGCAAGTGACCCGAGTTGCACGTTTCAAATTCCTTACAAAATAAATGCATTGTAGCTTGTGGAATTAATGCGTAAGTGTCGAGCATTTCAGAAGCATGGCTTTCATCCGTGTACGAAACAGTGTTTTTATTGTATGTACCGGAATGCGCTGATTCGCCATATCTGCCACAGTGCGCGCACACGCACAGCCACCCACCCACCCACCCACCCACGCACGCACGCACGCACGCACGCACGCACGCGCACGCACACACACACACACACACACACACACATGACCATGTATGTATATATATATATATATATGGATGTGAATGTTTGTGAGCACGTGTGTGCGTGTGCGTGTGAGCGTGTATGTAGAAAATATGGACTGAGCCGACTGCACAGTTCTGATAAGTCCATACATGCTTACTTAAACCCCAATCATAATTACAATGTCATTCAGAACGCGAGGGGGTAGTATAGGCACGCTCGTCCAAGCCACCGTCGTTGATGCGATGGTCGGAGAGCACGGGGTGGTAAAATGCATTGACCGGCTGAACATTCCGAACGACCGAACCAGGCTCCTTCCAATCAGGCACAACCCTGCGGGCGAACTACAACAGAATGCCAGCGTCTTGATCAGTGCGGCCGGCAGGCACAGTATCAGTGATGAGCATTCAAAGGTAACAGACGAATTCCCCCAGGCTTATTCTGTGGGAACTCCAAAGCACACGCACGAGGTTGTACCTTGCGGCCAGTAATTGCATAGATCCATTCCGCACCAACCACCTAGGAAGTATTTGAACAGGGTGTTTTTACCGCCGGTACTCCGGACCCTCTCATTGCGCTCGTCCACTGAATTCCTGGACTTTTTGAGAGACAAAATGATTTAATATCCGCTCGCGTCACGTGATGTGTAGTTTGCTTACCACTGTCCCTGTGAAGAGGGTAACTGGCATAATGGTAGAATATACATACCAAAGTTCTGCCCTGTCCTCGCCAACATGTCCATCACGTCATGATAGCCATGTTGCGTCTCTGTACCACACTGCTCTTCTCCCCTCCCCGGATTGCACCCTCTTCTACTAAGCAGATGGTACTGCAGTTCAGCCACCCTTGGGCGATTTATTCACCCAGGTTTCATGGCCCATGTCGAACAGTGCTGGTGAGTGTTGACGTGGAACGTCCATCTGACGTCCATCTCTATATTGCTGCTACGTCGATGACATCATTGTAGACGTGAATGGACATCAGCACCTGCTACAGCATAATAGCCAACTACAGCAAGCCTTGGCGCTAGACGTTTCCACCAAACCTAGCGTAAATAAAAACACCAAGCTTTCTTGACGTGCCTTTGGATGGAGCTACGCTGGCTTGCGACACCACTGTGCATCGCAAGCCAACAGATTGGAGCAGGTGCTTGAACGGCTCGAGCCACTGTCACGACAGACACGGAGATACTGTCGTGCAATCTTATGTGAATGGGACGATAAAACAGTGTCCATCATAGAGCCTTTTGCAGTTCGAGTTGTAGGCAGTAAAACAAATGTTGGCTACCGCATTCAACCTATCGACAAACACAGACGCGACGCAATCGCCAAACTTGTCCCAGCCCGTACCGCCAGAACTCCAGAAGGTGCAGTCCACAAACTGTACTACAACAACAGCGTGTGGCAGGCCTAAAACGCCGATGAAAATGTCATCCGATCAACCGTCAGGAAACGCTGTAAGTCAGCGTACCCGGGGACCGGTGGACGCTAATCGTACTTTACCAAAATCCTGGACACGTTCCCTAATCCCCAATTATGAGAAATGGCCCGACTCGCGACACATCTCTATCAAAGCAATCCAATGTAATAGACGGTTACAAGTGCCTCGCAGGGACTGCTTGCCACCGCCCGAACTGTAACTGCATTGGATTGACGACCGCGCGATTCGGCAGATGCATCACAATGCGAATCCAGAACAGCGGCCCAAAAAACACAAACGGAACCCTACCATGACTACCGAGTCATCAGGCAACGAATGGTGGATAGCACCACCAACGTAGACAGATGCCGCGATGCGGACGGCTGGATGTGCTCGAGGCCGTATATCACGCGACATGAACCCATCCATCGATAGGCAGGTCAGTGCGTGGGAAACCCTAACTCTTTACCAAGGGCTAGCTAGGGTTCCTGGCGGATATCCGTAGGCCCAACGCGGTCGACCAAGGATAAGACACAATACCAAATTTATGAACAGACGATTTAGCAGTTTTTCCTTTTAAGTGGTGCCCTGATTTTACCTAGCACGTCTCGTGTCATAGCAAAAAATGAACAGAAGTACGCTGGCGTGTTGTAATTTGCCTCCAAGCTACGATGTGTAGACCAGCCTATTTGGCAATCTTATCAATAAATCATATGCTGAAATGAGCGCTGCCTGACTATATTGTGTGGCAAATGTGATTTTAAGTTAATGGCTTGTGCCTTGAGGATGTCAACAGATTGACGAAACGTCGATAAAACATAAGAAACGTGGCATGAATGTGATTCACTTGGATTGTTCTCGCGATGAGATTTGCTTTGATTCTCAGCAAGTACAGCTTCAAAATCAAGCACTTAATGAGCTGGACTGATAGTACATCTTGGAAGATAACAAACAACAAAGCACACACACACACACACACACACACACACACACACACACACACACACACACACACACACACACACACACACACACACACACACACACACACACACACACACACACACACACACACACACACACACACACACACACACACACACACACACACACACACACACACACACACACACACACACACACACACACACACACACACACACACCACACACACACACACACACACACACACACACACACACACACACACACGCATGCACGCATATATATATATATATATATATATATATATATATATATATATATATATATATATATATATATATATATATATAGAACACGACAATGTATTTAGCGTTGGGGGCGAAAAAGCTTGTGATTTACCGGATATGATCGGCGACAAAAACGAACACCTTTGCAAGCTAATTGGTGACAACACTACGAAAATAAAAACAAATTACAACAGAGTAGACCATATAACAACAGACCATCCTAGCGAGATGAAACTCAAAGCTTAGTATTAGTCTGTACTCGTTAACGCTTGCGACACGAACATGTCAGTTTGCTAAGCGTGATCAGTTTGCTGTGCGGTATTTTAAAGCGTCGTGCCATTTGAGACAGACACTCGAATGCTGGCCATACGATTATGGATTGGGTTCAGTGCAAAGGTGAGGGCTGCTGTTGGTTGTGTTCATGTCGTAAGACGCTGACTGGCTAAAAGAAGTAGCTAATCGCAATTCTTTAAGGTGCTGTGCATCTTTTCTAAGGATCTACCATGGAGGGTGTCCCCATTAATCGCGCTAAAAAAGCCCTGCAGATCTTGGAGGATTGTTGTTTGTGGATACCTGAGATGTAGCTTCAGAGGTAAACGGTAGACGTTGGAGGGACACTTGCCAAGGATTCATCCGAGGCTTCCTGTTACCTGCGGGTACAGCGGCTTTGAGGTAAGAGGCTGATCATTGATGGTGTAGGCCTCTCGCACTGCCCGGTGCACCGCAGACTCAGCGCACTGATAGGTGGGCAGGCGTGAGATAAAGCACTTCCATTTGTCATCATCTTGCATATAAAGCTAAATGAAGGTGCTTAGAGATTTTAAAAAAAACTGCGTTTCCATCTGTGGATACCAATACTGCATGGGTTTTGCTGTTTGGGATCGTGCTAGGAAATGTAAGTTCTGTACCGGTAATGATTATTCAAAAATAGTGAAGCTCGTACACGCTTCCAGCCCAGCTGATTGTGCGATGACGCTACAAAGCAAAGTGATAGGTGTAGAAAAAAGTTAGCTGAGCCCGCCTCCGTTGGCATTTACAATGCAGCTTAAAAAGTTTTCTCTCCAGATTGACATACTTCGTTCTCAGCAGGGGTGTAGGGGTGTATATCTGAAGGAGGGGTGTAGTTTCCCAATATAAATTTCTGAGTTGCTGAGCCCCAAAATTACGACATTCGAAAACAATGCATAAAAGTGATAAATAAGAATATGAAACTACTTCAGTGGTTAGGAGGCACGATACCCCCAACTGAATGGGAAACAACACGTATCTAGGCTGGTTAGGTTAAGTGCGCCTTTATATGATAACTTTGTTGGTTTAGATTCAACCATCATTCAGTGTTTTACATGATTAGCAAATGACATGTTCGTGCAAGTTAAGCTCCGAAATGAAGATGTCTCACGACTATGCTGCAATGTCTTTCAGTTCTCTTTGTTTTTGTGCAGGGATGGATCCAGGATGGATCTTGAATCTTCTGATCGGCAAGTAAAGGCTATCCACTCTATCGAACTCAGCGAATGGTGGCTAGCATCCACTCCCGCCCCGCCGCTGCTGCCTGGGCCCCAAATGCCAGGGTACACTCGGTTGCTCAGGGGCCATTCATATCGGTATCGGATTCTTTCCACTTGCTTCGAGGACCCCATACTGATACGGGGGCCCCACATAAGGTAACATTCCAAGGCACTCGGTGGTCAGAGGCCCTCTTCATTGACCTATGGCTCTTTCCTTTTCGAGCTTATTTGCTGAGTGCCCTTCACTTGTCAGAGCTCTCTCTGTTAACCTGCCAGGGCACTCTTGATGACACAGGGGCGTCAATTCATGCACACTGATCTTCAGCTAGTGTCCTTTGTTCAGGGGATCCTGTACTCCGGCCGGACCCTGTATGTTGA